AGGTGAAGGACGAGTTCTGGACGGGATGATGCCCGTCGTTGTCCACATGGCTGGATACACCTTCGTCCTAGTCTGCTTCTATGGCATCAACTCGATGGGCTTCACAGGGCCCAACCTCATACGCTACCAGCGCCTTGGCGCATTTCTGCATGCCCTTCAGTTGCCGTGGGTGGTTGTGGGGGACTTCAATGTCCCAGCTGCAGCGGTCACCAAGTCTGAATTCGCAGCCCGAGTTGGAGGGCACGTGCTGGCTCCCGACGTTCAATACACGTGCGACTCGGGAGTGAACGGCAGCATGATCGATTTCGTTCTGTGCAGCACGTCGGCGCTCTCGTACGTGAAGGCAGTCAGGCCAGTCTTCTCGGTCCCCTGGAAGACCCACATCGGCATCGAGGTGCAGGTCAGGCAGGCAGGGGCACAGCTGCTCTCGCGCTCGCTTGTGCTGGCATCCAAGTTGCCTCAGATGGCTCGCCCTGGCACAGAACCGACAAGCGGGTCTAAGGCCAGCCGGGCTCGCGCACAGCGAAACATTGCTCGGCAGGAGGCGGCGGCGAAGCGTGAGGAAAAGTATGATCAGTTGTTCAGTGATTGCCTTGTCGCCCTCAACCCCACTTCCAGGCCCTGGCCAGCAGTGACACGACCGACGTCGGTGAGGCGTTCGAGGCTGAGTCGTTCTGTTCCGAGGAAGACCCGTGGGCTGATGAGTTTAATTTCGCTTCGACACGGGATGAGGTTACCCTTGAATCCCCTGGAGTTTCAGGATCAAGTTCGAGTACGGACGGTCAGACGAACACGCTGGCTCCTGGGGGTGGTCTCGGGGCCTCGTCGGTGCTCCTGGGGACTCCCTCGTGTTCGTCGGATCTCGGTACCGAGCCTATGGTCCTTAATTCGACCCAGTCCTCTAGCCAGCATAGCAGCGTAGAAGTTGTTCCTTATAATATTCCTGCTGAGTTGTGGGAGGCCCAGAGAGCCTCGGTAGGTTTCCAGAGTTTCCCCTCTCGCTCCCTCCCTCCATACATTCAGCAGTCAGCCGTCTACCAGATTGACCCTGAAGGATGTTGTCTGGTTAGTGGTATCTATTCGTCGTGGGTAAGGACCCTAGAGTCCACTATACTAGCACATCATCGGGAAGAACAGCCTCATGGTGTGTCCCGTGCTGACGTTCCTCGGTTCGTCGTTCATGAGGTGCAGGTGAATCATAAATATCGGTCGGCTCTGTTACGGGATGCGGTTTCTAATTGGTGGGCTAGATTGCATACCGTACTAGTGGGGATTCATAAGCATCGCAGTCGAGGAAACGGGCTGTCCCAACGACGGCAACTGGAGAAAGCGTGTGTAGGCTTGGTTGAAGATCGCCCAGAGCAGGTCCATTGCAATATCCGCGATGGTCTGGAGGCTGGGTGGTCTGAATGGCTGAAGCTGCTTTCTGCCGTCTCTGAGGCGTCCCTCGACACGTTGTTGCGCTTTGCCACGTGGGCTGATAGAATTGCCAAGCGGAGCCAGAGGAGAGCGACGGCAGCGTCGCTCAAGGAGTTCCGCGAGTGGGCATCGTCGTCGGAGGCTCTGGGCACCTTGCATAGGGCTACTCGGCAGGACCCTCTTCCTCCTCTCGAGTTCCTCGATGATGACGGTCAGTTGTTATTTCACCCGAAGGACATCATAGATTTCAAATCCAGGAAATGGCGTAAGGTTTGGGCCCCAGAGGTCACTGATCCCGAGGCCGCTCTGGCGTCGGTGTTGGGTATTGTGCGAGATGCAGTACGTGACAATCCTGATCCCCTACCTCCCCTGGGTGTCAGTGACTTACGGCGTGCTCTGCGTGACATGAAAAGTAAGACGGGTTTAGGTGTGGATCGTGTGTCCCCTGGGGATCTCGAGCGTCTCCCTGATGTGGGTCTTGGAGCTCTGGCTGACCTCCTCAATTGCGTGGAGTCCCTGCTCGTCTGGCCTGCCCAAACGTTAGTGGTTATTGGTAAGCTCCTGCCCAAAAAGGCCTCTGGGGATAGAATTATTGGGCTCATATCTATGCTCGGAAGGGTGTGGAGCAAAGCACGTGAGCCTTGGGTCCAGCAATGGACGGCGGATACGGAGCCTTCTTGGGATGCCGCAGTCAAAGGCAACTCATCATTGCAAGAAGCATTTCGGAGGCTCCTTGATGAAGAGGTCTCAGCGATATTGCACATCCCATACGGCCACAGCTTGACGGATATTGAATCGTATTACGACACGATGTTCTGGCTCAAACTCGTTCGGGCTGCAGTACGCTTGGAATTCCCACCGACAGTACTCTACCTTGAGTTGGTCCAATGTGCATGCCCACGGACTCTGAATCAGTTGTGTGCATTCTCGGTTCCGTTTGAGGTCACACGTTCTATTATCCAGGGTCTCCGCTCTGGGACGCGCTTCGCGCGCATTATGACCTTTTTTGCGATGGATAAAATGTGCAAGGCGAACGTCCACTGCAGCCACAGACTTTGGATTGACGATTTATCCCAAGTGACGAGAGGTTCACGACGTCAGGTACGAGTCAATTTGGTGAAGTGCATAACGGACACGGCAGAAGGCTTCCACGGCCAGGGGCTCAAGATAGCTTCCAAGTCAGTGGTGGTCTGCAGTCACTATTCAGATGCAGTTGATGTAGTCAAGGCTCTTCGCAGGAAGGGCATTCACATGACAGCGGCACGCAGTTGTGTATATCTAGGTGCTGATCTTGGTGCTGGACGACGGCATGCGAGAGAGCAGAGAGTGAAGCGAGTTGTCAAGCACGTGGCTCGACACAAGCAGGTGCGCAGGTACACCGTAGCCATGCGCAGAGTCAAGATATCATCACGTTTGGAGAAGCAGGGAGGACAAGCAGTAGGCAGTTACGGTTACCAGCTGCACGGGGCGTTTGGCCAGTATCTTCTCCAACATCGGCGGAGGCTCGGTGCTTCTTGTCAGGTACGCACCAAGGGTAGGTGTTTGACGTCATTGCTGGCTATTAGGTCCCCCGAGTATGATCCCGCCCAGGAGTTTGCGCACGGTATTTTTGCCATGTGGCTCCAGCAGTGGCGGGATCATCCTGAGATCAGATCATCGGTGGAGCGTGCATGGGTCAAGGTCGTCGACAAGTTACAAGGAGTACCAGCAGCTCAGCGTTCTCGGCATGTACGTGGACCACTGTCGGCGATCATCACTTACATGTTGTCATTTGGTTGGGTGCCACGTGGTCCTACTGACTGGGTTTTACCTGCCTCGGACCACGATTGGCGCTTCCCAGCCGACGGATTTTCAGGTGTGAAAGCTTTGGACAATTTTGATGATTTCTTGGCCGATGTGCGTGTAGCTGCTATGTTACCTCACTGGTCACAGGCGGCTCAGCACTTCGACGGAGAGGGCATCCAAGATGGTATCGATACATGGTCCTTGAGACGTCTCTTAGAACAACTGGGCACCATTCAAGCAGGAGGAGCGAGATTGGCAGGGCTACTACTTTCCATTGCTGTCGGAGGCGCATGGCCTCGGAGTCGCAAGGGAACTCTTGCTGAGCATCGTGGCAAGAGCGAATCGGAGCTGCAGGATTTCATGACATGTCTTCGTTGTAAGAGTGAGGTGGAGACGTCGTTTCATCGGTCTTGGGCTTGCAGTTGTAATAAGGATTCGCCTATATATGAAGCTAGCGACACGTTATTTTCCTCTGCCCAATCTCAGCATGAGGCAGCGGCATGTTTCTGGCTCAGAGGTTTGATCCCAGCACCGTGGACGCGAACCCCTGACCCGCAGTTGACCGACGATTGGCAGTACAGTGGGATCGTTGATGTGGGGCCTGGCTGTCTTCCTCGAGGCACGGCAGAGCATCCCACAATCATTTTCGGGGATGCAAGCGGAGGTCCAGATACAGCTGATCCACGGTTGCGCAGGGTGGCCATGGGGGTTGTTGTGATGTCTAGTTATGATCCGCCAGCTGTGGGTGCCCACATCGTCGGCGGTCTGCCAGGATTGAAGCAGTCGGTGGCCAGAGGAGAGTTGAGGTCCCTGTGGCTCGCCATCTGGGCCAGTGATGGGCCCATTCATTATATCACAGATTGTGAGAATGTAGCTAAGGGTGGGGCCCAATGCAAGTACTTGGATCCCCGGGGTGCTGATGCAGATTTGTGGGCTCGCATTCAGATTTTGATGAGTATGCGTGATGTGAATGGTGTATCCGTGGAGTTCGTCAATTCGCACTCGACTGGTAGTGATATTGTTGATGGACGGGCTGCGCGTTGGAAAGTGATCGGCAATTCTACTATTGATGAACTGGTTGGTGATATGGCAGCAGAAGTACGGCTGCCCCCAGACATACGGCATCAAGTGTTGGACATCGAGCGACAGGCCTTCTTGGTGAGGCACAGGCTCCTGCGCGCGGCCGCAGACTCCATGGCCAGCGAGCTTCAGGACATCGAGAGGAGGAAGGAAGGCGGGTCACCTCCTCCTCCTCCTCCTCCCCCTGTTGCAGCTCCCGTGCCTGTTCCGAGTGCGGTTTCCTTTTTCTCGACCAGTCACCTGTTGGACGACAGTGGTCGGAAGTGCAAGCGCTGTATGGGCTCGGCCTCCCTGGGGCGCCTGGAAGTTTGGAAAGGCAGCTCCTGTTTTCAGCCCCTCAACCTGAATGGGGATTTTTACACAGTCCCTGACGGGCATAGGTTGCACGTGGCTGGGGACTGGGTGCACGATACACATGCTATGAATCTTAGCACGAAGTTGGGTCTTTGGTTTTGCGGGAGGTGTGGGTTCTTCGCCAGTCAGCAGAACCGTAACCTCCGCAAAGAATGTTGCAGAGCCACACCGACTGGAGAGGGTTATTTGAAGTTGATCCGCCAAGGTCAGTGGCCCAAAGTGCTAAGTAAAGCCGAGAAGGCTAGACGGTCTGATCCCAGGCGCGATCTCCCTCCCTCGGTCTAGGCTCCATTTTCCTCACTTAGTGAACAGACATTCTCATTCTCATTCTCCTCCTTCTCCTCCTCCTCCTCCTCCTCCGTCCGTAGCCATTGGGCTCAAGACGGCGGGCCGCGCGCGCGGTCTCTTCCCTTTTGCGATGGGGTCGGACGACCTCTGGGAGCGGATGGCAGCGCTGCCCGTGGCCCAGGCGGCTTTCGGCGCGGCGGCGGCGGCGCTGGGGGGCCAAGGCGGCACCAAGGCGCTGTCCGTGGTGGTCGCGGCGGCGGCGCGCGGAGCGGCCCAGGGGGCCGCCGCGGGCGCCGCTGGAGCAGGTGCTGGCGCTTCGGACTGCAGCGGAGGGGCCAAGGGCGAGATCGAGCTGCTCGCCGAGGTCCTCGACGCGGTCGGCGAGAAGTCGAACTTGGAGTGGCCAATCTCGGTCCAGGACGCCAAGGGCATCCTGCGGGACGGCGGGGCGCGGTCGTTGGCCTCCCGTCTGGGGAGGCTTAGCAAGGCGCGCAACGCCAGGGGCCATCCCGACGTAAGCCTGGCGAGGGAGGTGCGCGCCCACTTCGTCGCCAAGGCTGCCGGCGGCGACAACGTCCAGGAGCACCCAGAGCCGATCGCGAGGGCCTCGACGGTCAACGTGAATGGCAACGGTGAGAACGTACAGATGAAGTCGAAGCAGGACGTGGGCAAGGTGAAGCAGGCCCAGGAGCTGAAGCTGCACCTTGTCGGCAGTGATCAACTCCCCGTGCAGATCTTCGAGCCCGAGCTCGAGAACAAGTGCGTGGAGCTGCAGATGATGAAGGCGGAGCTGGCGGCAGAGACGGCAGCCAGAGCTGCGTCGGCATCAGAAGTGGAGAAGTTGCAACAGCAGGTCGTGGCTCTGCACACGAAGCTGGACAGCAACGCGGCGAAGGCCTCCGAGTATAAGGACATGGTCGCGGGGCTTGAGGCTGAACTTGCGGCCGCGAGGGAGGCGATGGCTTCGGCGACCACGGGCAGCCAGCAGCTGGCGGAGCAGATCGTGGAGCTGCAGGCCAAGAAGGAGGAGGCGGAGCAGGTGCAGATGCGCCTCCGCGAGGCGCTCGCTGACGCCGAGCGGAGGATCGAGGAGGAGTCGAGCAGGGCCGCCGAAGCCGTCGAACTCTGTCAGGGGGCGTTCCATCTGGCACGGGAGGCGGCGACAGGCAGTGGCTCCGCGTCTGAGTCGGCGTCGAGACCGTCGAGGACGAAGCGGCGCTGAGGGACGCTGCGCCTAGGGGCGCACGTGTGCCGCGCGGCCGTCGGGACGCTGGGCGCGGCTCGGAAAGCTGGGGCCTGGTCTGGGCCGTGTGGTCCCTGGTTCGGGGCTCCCTCGGGGCGGCCGCTGGCGGCTTCTGGGTCGGCTCCGTGGGGCGGCGGGTTGCCTGGTTATGGCCTCCTTCCTCGGGGGGCCATTGCCTGGGCAGCTTGCCTTTTCGGGTTTTTTTTTCTGGCCCCTCGTCGCCGTCTCGATGGGCCTCCGTCGGGCCCCCGAGGCAACAAAACTGGTTCGGCCAACGGTGGCCCCCAAAAAATCCTCCTCCTCCTCCTCCTCCTCCTCCCTCCTCTCCTCCTCCCTCCTCCTCCTCCTCCTCCTCCTCCTCCTCCTCCTCCTCCTCCTCCTCCTCCTCCTCCTCCTCCTCCTCCTCCTCCTCCCTCCTCCTCCTCCTCCTCCTCCTCCTCCTCCTCCTCCTCCTCCTCCTCCTCCCCCCCCTCCTCCTCCTCCTCCTCCTCCTCCTCCTCCTCCTCCTCCTCCTCCTCCTCCTCCTCCTCCTCCTCCTCCTCCTCCTCCTCCTCCTCCTCCTCCTCCTCCTCCTCCTCCCCCTCCCGCATCGCCCCACCCCAGGTCCACGAGGGGGAAGGGAGCGGGGGGATGATGGGGGGAAGGATTGGGCCAGGGGTCGCTGTGAGGGCCTCCGCCAGAGGTCATGGACATGTCCCTGGCTGCGCACGTGGCCACTCTGAAGTCTTCGGTGCCCTTCGTCTGCTTCCAGGATGCGCTTCCGCCCTTCCTGCCCCACCCTTCCCTCCCAAGTTCCCCATGCTTCCCATCCTCCCCCCCTCCCTTTCCCACCACCATCTCCGCCCCTTCCCTCCACTACCCTCCCGTCCCCTCCCCTCCCTCCTCCCGCCCCTTTCCAGGATGGCTTCCGAACCTCCCACGAGATCAACAAGCCAGAGGTGATACCGTACGAGGCGATGGCTGAGGATGAGGAAGAGGAGGAGCAGCAGCAGCAGGAGAAGTAATTCTTTACGCCTCGCGTATCTACACCAGCCCCTCGTAGCCCGAGCCGACTCGGCCCGCTGTTGGCGCCTTCGCCTGCGGCTGCGACAAAACGTATCTCCACCAGCCCATTCGGAAACCTTGCCCATGAGAGTTGGCGGGAAAAGGGTGAACAGAGAGATCTTTGGGAGCACGGTGGTGGACCTTGGAGGACTTCTTCGGGCCATCACTGGGGCCCGCGTGGGTGCGAAGGAAGGAGAAGAAGGAGGAGGAGGAGGACGACGACGACGACCACTATGAAGAGGAAAAGGAGAAACGGGAAAAGGAAAACGATGAGGGCAAGGACGAGGACGTGGAGGAGGAGGAGGAGGAGGAGGAGGAGGAGGAGGAGGAGGACACAGAGGACGATGACAGAGCCCTCAAGATCGATGTTTGGAGCCCTCTTGTGATTCTTTTGGGGGATAGTATGGTCTTCTCAGGCCTTGAGGCTTTTGGGGGGAGTCTTGGGGCGCTCTTGGGGCTCTCGTGGGGGCCTGTTGGGAGCCCTGGATGACCTCTTGGAGTTATCGTGGAGGGTGTCGAAGAAAAGAGGGAGGGTCGTAACGTTTGGTATCCCCCCCCCCTGGGGTCATCAAAATCGCCTATTGGGGCCATCCTGGGGCGCTGTTAGGCCGCTCTTGGGCGCTCCTGGGGTCGTCAGGGGGGGGCATCTTGGACTCCTGTTGGGCTTCTCTTGGGCCATCTTGAGGCTTCAAGAGCACATCGGAAGCGAAAAGGCGAGAGGTTAACAACCATTGATGTTCCCCAGGCTGTTGCCGAATGCTGGTCTCTTGGGGGGGGCTCCGAAGGGGTCTCCGAAATAACTTGGAACCGTCTTGTGGCCCTCGTCGGGCCTCTTGGAGGTATGTCGGAAGCTATCTTGCACCATCGTAAGATCGTAAGCTAGCTTGAGCCATCTTGGAGGCCATCTTGGAGCATCGGAGGCCCTATTAGAGCCATCTTGGAACTCTTTGGGGGGATCGTGGAGTCCTCTGTGGTTCTTTTGGGGGGTCTTGGGGCCCTCTTGGGGCCCTCTTTGGGGCCCTCTTGAAGCCCTTTTGGGGGGTCCTTGGGAGCCCCTGGGACCACCTGGGAGGCCATCGATCAAAAGAGGGGGGGTTCAATTTGCCTTCCCCCCCTGGGGCCATCAAACTCGCCAAACTGGGCCCAACACCTTAGTACAATATATGATGTGTACCTCCTCGCCAAGGCTACATTGGACGCTCTAACGCCCCGCGGCCCGTCCCCAAGAACCCAGTGAGGGGGGGGAAGCCCCCCTCCCAGAAAGGAACAGAGAAATATGTGGAAGAGGAAGGGAAGATATCGCCGGACCCCTTTAGCCCAAAGGGCTGGCGGGATGGAAGTGCGGAGGTGCGGTGCACGCGCGGCGGCTCGTCGGCCCGGGTGCCGTCTGCGAGCTTGCCGTTTCTACCAATGGCTGATCCGTTCCGCCCCCCGGCGGGGCCCTTCCACATAGAGCACGCCACGCTGGTTTTCCGCAGATTTGTGACCCAGCGTGGAGGCGGAGTAGAATGAGAGGGAGGGGGGTGAGGGAGGACGCAGGAAGCAGGAGGAGAAAAAGGAGCACAACGGATTGTGAGGGAGAGTGGGGAGGAGGAGGAGGAGGGGGAGGAGGAGGAGGAGGAGGAGGAGGAGGAGGAGGAGGAGGAGGAGGAGGAGAGGTGGAGGAGGAGGACGAGGAGGAGAGAGGAGCACGCTTGGGAGGCGATGGCCCAGCTCGTGCCCTGGGAGGACATCCACAAGTACCGCCGCCGCGGCCTGCACCCGAACAGGCCGCACGCGCGCCAGCAGGGCCAGTTCAGCGACACGTTCTTCCAGAACGCTGAGGCGGCTTCGCGCCGCCGCCGCCGCCCCCCTCCACCCCTCCCAGCCTCCCAGGGCAAGCGCTGGGCCGTCGCCTTCCAAGCGTGTTCTTCTCTCCTCTCTCTCTCCTCCTCCTCCTCCTCTTCCTCCTCCTCCTCTTCCTCCTCCTCCTCCTCCTCCTCCTCCTCCTCCTCCTCCTCCTCCTCCTCCTCCTCCTCTCTTCTCCTCCTCCTCCTCCTCCTCCTTCTCCTCCTTCTTCTCCTTCTCCTCCTCCTGCTCGTCCTCCTCCTCCTCCTCCTCCTCCTCCTCCTCCTCCTCTTCCTCCTCCTCTCCTCCTCCTCCTCCTGCTCCTCCTCTCTCCTCTTTCCTCCTCCTCATCATCATCCTCCTCCTCCTCCTCCTCCGTAGCCATTTTGGCTCAAGCCGTTTCGGCACGAACTCTTTCAGGAGCCCGTGCTTGTGTTCACGTACTTCGAAGCGGCTCGTGAACACGGGCCACTTCACAAGCGCACGGCGCCTCCCGCTGCAGAGTCCAGCAGTGGCGGATGGTGCCAAACCCGCCCGATGTCTTGCCTGGAGCCAAGACTCCCCTGTGGAGTTGCAGCTGCGGGTGCCCGGACAATTGGGCGTCCAGGATCATGTGCAGAGGGTGCGGCAAGGATGCCCCAGCGAGAGTCGTCCAGGCAGCTCGCAAGGCATCGGCGGCACTCAAGTCAGGTTCTGTTCGTGGGCCTCGAGGTGCCTGGGCTCAAGGTCCGCCGCCGATCGGACCCAGCAGCAAGGAGCAGATGCGCATTATCCAGGAGCTCAGGGCCGAGGTCGCACAGCTGGCTGGCAAGCCGCCCCCAGCTCGGCCGCCATGGCATTCCAGCACCCCTTTCGCAGCAGCAGGGCACGGCGGGCGGCTCGTCCGCCAAGCTCTCGTTCGCTGAGGTGCTGCAGTTCCTCAAGGACGAGGGCGTCGACACGGCGAAGGTCGAGGAAGCAGAACTGGCAGAGAAGCAGGCTACGGCAGTCAAGCAGCCCACGTCCAGGGCCGCGCACTGGAAGGTCGAGAACCTCCGCACCAAGCTCTCCAAGGCGGAGGTGCGTGCTGCGGCGTTGCGCAAGCAACAGGAGGAGCTTCAGGCCGAGATCGCTGAGCTGGACAAGAGCGTCGACAAGCTCAAAGAGGACCTCGGCCAGGCTGAGCAGGCGCTGTTCCGAGTCCAAGCTGATGGAGATCCGCTCAGAGCAGTCACGGCCACCCTGGACGAGGCCGTCGCTCAGTCTGATGAAGGACAAGCTGCACTGGCCACCCTCCAGCGCCTGCAAGCCGAGGCTCAGGCCAAGAGGGCTGCGGCCAGCGGGCCTGCTGCTGCAGGTGCTCCTCCTGGGGTGGCTACAGGCGGGGCAGGCAGCGGCGAGCACACTGCAGCCACTGCAGGTGACGGCGATGACATCGACATGGACTTGCTGGATGGAGAAGACTTCGACGAGCGCAGGGCAGCTTTCGACAAGGCCGCCCAGGAGCTCAAGGAGGCCAAAGGAGGAAGTCAGGAGCAGCTGGATGCCGCCAAGCGCAAGTACCTCGTGGCTGCGGAGGCCATTGGGGTCAAGCGGGCTCGGTCGTGCTCCTCCTCCAGGCAGCGGCGTCGAAGAGCAGCCCAGCTTCGATGCCTGCCTGAGGTGCAACATCATCGACCACGACTGGGAGCAGGCCACGGGCTTCGCTGTGCCAGTCTTGCGCGACGACCTCCTGTTCGACTCGATGCAGTTTCGCCAGCGTGACGGGACTTTGATGGAGTTGGACGAGAAGGATCGGCCCGTGTTCGGTTCCGCTCTGGCGAGGAGCACGCCTTTGTATCGCTTGGGCAAGGGAGGGAGGGATTCAGCCCCTCGTAGTCACACTCCCTTGCCCGCATCACCGATGGCTTCCAGTTCGAGCTCGGTGGCTTCGGCATCCTCGATGATCCCCCAACTGGCCCGCTCCTCGGGGTTGGGGGCAAGTGCAACGCAGAGGCATATTCCCCAACTGGCCCGCTCTTCGGGGTTGGGGACATGTACGGCACAGAGGCCACCGCCCCAACTAGCCCGCTCCTCGGGGTTGGGGACAGCTCCTAGCTGCGAGGCCAGATCTTCTTCGTGGGTGGCATGCGCGTCGACGCGGACGGCTACTGCGGCTACTTCGGGCTCCTCGCCCCCCGAGGGCACGCACTGCTCAGCTCTGGCAGCAGGCCATCGGGGCGCTAGCGGGTACCGACCTTCGGCTGGCGCCGTCGGCACGCACAGCGCAGCGCCCCTAGGACAGGCTGCAGGAGAGCCAGAGGGTACCGACCTTCGGGGGAAGCCCTCGTCGCCTGGCGGCCTGGAAGCCGCTCGCCTTCCTCCCCATGTTGAGCTGGACGCTCTATCGAAAATCTGATGGTCAGGACCTGACGGAGGGCGGCGTGCAGCTGCCCCCGCTGTGGAGATGAGCTTTGCTGCCAAGGAGGCGCGGCTGCAACCTCAGTCTGTGGCTGTTAGTAGGCTCGTCATCGCAGGCATGAATGTCAATGCCTGGAACACGTTTGAACCGGTGATGGGGTGGATAGCGGACGAGTCCAAGGCTGGCGGTGCCCAGACGCTCCCACAGGTCTGCTGCATCCAAGAGACACGCACCAAGAGTGACACCAAGCAGGTCTCCGCGATGAGCTGGGGGCGTAGGCGCGGGTATCACTTTACGTTCGGGATGGCTCACAGTACGGGGCCATCGCAGCAGCAGAGCAGCTCTGGTGTGGCAGTCGGAGTTTGCACATTGTTAGGCTCGACGCCAACAGCGACCACGATTTTCGAGGATTGCTCTAGCAGGGCGGTGGCCAGGATCGTCAATGCGGGGTTCCCAAAGGGCCTTGTCGTCATCAGTGTGTACTTTGTGACGGGCAAGGAGCTCTCAGGACCCAATCTGGACCTCTTGCAGACGGTCGGGGCAGACATTATGGCCCAAGAGAGGCCTTGGGTCCTCCAAGGGGACTTCAATTTCGAGTCCGAGGCGCTTCTGGGCTCTGGGTGGCTACAGAAGGTTCGAGGGGTGTTGGTGGCTCCTGCAACCCCTACGCGCAGGACTTCTAACCCTCAGGAGGCCCAACTGGTACCTCAGAAGGACTCGCAGGGCACCTTGGACGACTGGGTCATCTTGGGTGGAGCAGCTGGGTCAGTCCAAGCTGCAGATGACAGTTGGATCCTCGATTTCTTTGTGGTTGCGGAGGTGTTGGCCACGCGTGTTGAGGAGATCTCGATCATGGACCAGGCTCCGCTCTACCCGCGCGCGCCTGTCGTCTTAAAGCTTAAGTATCTGAGCCATGTGTCGACGATCAACCAGCAAGTGCGCTTCAAAGCCTTCCCAATGGAGCTCATAGGCCCCATGCAGGCCCCAGCTGTGTACAATTGGTCTTGGGAAGTGGGTGCCCCAGCAGATCTTAACCCCATGGCGAAGGAGTGGTTTGAGTTCTCGGAGAGGCGCCTGATCCAGATCCACGGGATAGACCCTCAGTGCTCCAGGGCTTTCGTGGGCAGGGCTGCAGGACCGAAATCAAAAGTCGTCTCCTTGGCTTCGGTTTGGGAAAAGGACCAGAGGCGCAGATTTTCTCGGTCGACGACGGCTTGGATTTCCTATGTTGCACTGCGCAGGCGCACCTGCCAGACTCGAGTAGGCAAGCAGGCCGCAAGGGCCGAATGCTCCTCGATCGGTGGTCCAGGGACCTGAAGGCCATGGTCGCCGACATGGGCCCGTTCACTGCTGATGCCGAGCTCTCGCCCAGTTTTTTGTGCACCTTCGCTGATGTCATCACCGCGGGCGATGAGCCCGTCCACGATGCCCTGCATAAGATGGACGAGGAGGTGGACAGCAGGAGACGGGAGGACTCAAAGGTGTCACTGAAGGAGTAGAGGACCTGGGCGGTTGAGAGTGTTAAAGGAGGAGGGAAGGCAGCCCATAAGTTCGCTAAGCAGAAGGCATCCGACGTCACTTCACTTCTCGACGCGGAGGGCGCCCCTCAGGTAGGTGCTGGAGCACTTTCGGCCCTTCTAGACGAATGGGTGCCGCTGTGGTGTGTAGCTGATAGGCAGGATGAGCGCCCATCCCAGTGGTCTGTCCCAGTTGATGAAGCCCGATTGGAACCTGTTGCCCTGGATCGGCTCCTGAAAGCTTGTCGTAAGTATGCTCCTGGCGCAGGCTTGGGGTGGGATGGTTTTCACCCAAGATGGGTTCTGAGCCTCGCGGAGGAACACCAGCTAAGGCTTTTAGATATTCTGCACAGGTTTGAGGACAGACCACAGGATTTTCTCGCCTTCTTGACCAACATGGTCTTCTTAGACAAGCCCGACGGCGGCGTGCGCCCCATCGGCCCCCTCTGCCTGGTGCTGCGCTTGCGGTCGCGACTCCGCCAGTCGTGCTGCCACGCATGGGAGAAGATGCATGCAAAGGCCTTCTATTGGGGCACGGGGCCGCACAATACATGTGAGAGAGCTGGCTGGGCCCACAATCTCTTGGGGGGCTTCTGCAAGGAAGTTGGGTTTCAGAGCGGGTCCGCCTGGGTCGACCTGAGCCTCTTCTATGAGCACATCAGGCACCTTGATATCAGAGCTGCGGGGCTCCAGTATGGGTCCCCCATCAAGGTCCTCAGGGGGTACTGCACGATCTATGCTGGATGTAAGGCTCTGATGTATGGAGGTGCCGTATCGTCGGCCGACTTGGCGAATGCAGCTGCGGTGGCTGGATGCTCAGGAGCGACGACACTGGCTAAGTTATTGCTGATCCATCCGCTTCTTCTCACACAGCAAGGTCGGCCGAATTTATTCATCCGCAATGTTGTAGACGACGTTGCACTACAGGCGTGTGGTCGGCCAGTTCAGGTAGCTCAGGTGCTATCGAGTGATGTCGCTCAGCTCTTCTCGTGATTTGAGGAGCTCCACCTGCCTGTGAACATGAAGAAAACGAAGTGCTTGTGCACGCGAGAGGTTCTGGTCCATGTTGTGGGCTCCTGGTGCTTGCCTGGTACGTCTCG